TTCCTTCCAAAAAGGCAGATGAAAAATAATATAAGGATAATCTTAAATACCTTGGAATACTATGAATCTCACCAGGAAAAGCAAATGGCTGTGATATTCTTGGATACAGAGAAAGCTTTTGATAATCTGAATTGGAATTTTATGCTATAGCAATTGGAAGTACTACAAGTTGAATAAAGATTTTTGAAATTAATTAAAGCTATCTATACCCAGCAAAAGGCAAAAGTTAGAATCAATGGAGAGCTGATGAAAGAAATACAAATACAGAAGAGGTACAAGACAGGGGTGCCCAGTCTCTCCATTACTATTCATTCTTACTCTAGAAATATCAACTAGCAAATTAGAGATAAAAAGGAAATAAAAGGACTGAAAGGAAGAGGTCATACTTTTAAGCTCCAAGCTTTTTCAGATGATCTAGTTATTATACTGGAGGATCCAATGGACTCAATTGAAGACCTGATGGAGATGCTGATGAATTTTTGTGATATGGCAGGAATGAAAATAAACCAAAAGAAAACAAAAATACTTGTTAAAAATATGAGAGATCAAGAACAACAGAAATTAACAGAAAGGACTAACTTTCAAGAAGAGAAGAGAGTCAGATATTTAGGGACCCAAATCATAAAGAAAATGAGTACATTATTCAAAGACAAATATATGAAGTTGATTAAAGAGATACAGATTAGCTTGGAGAGATGGGACAAATTACAGCTATTGTTGATGGGAAGAATAGCAACCATCAAAATGTTCTACCTAAAATTTTATTTTTATTTCAGACAATGCCCATAATATTAAAACAGTCATTTTTTCAAGAACTTAACAAGATAATCATGAGATTTGTGTGGCAAGGTAAAAAACCAAGAATTAAAATCAAAGCAATGCAAGATGCCAAACGAAGAGCAGTTTTTTGTCTCCCAGATTGGGTATTGTATTATAGAGCCTGTGTATTGATCTGGATAAAGGAATGGATAACTTTAGAAAATGATAGACTACTCAAGTTGGAAGGACATGATTTACAGTTAGGTTGGCATGCTTTTCTATGGTATAGAAAAGGTAAAGAGCAGAAAAGTTTCAACTCGCATATGATAAGAGCCCTACTAGGGACCTGGAAAAAGATAGTCTAACAGATTTACCAAAAGAACACCAGGCTGGGTATCACCCATAGAGGCCTTTACACAACCTAACCTTGTGACAGAAGCGAAACTTTTAAGATATCAAGATCTATTAAAAATGATTGTGAGTTATGGTCCAAAGAAGAGTTAGAAACACAAAACATGTATCTGGACTGGTGGTAAAGAGCACAAGTGGAATCTAGGTATAGAAAAGATAAAATAGAGGGCATTTACACAGATCAAATGATATTCAATAAACTTCTGCTGGGCTCAAAAGAGTAGCGAATCAGTATCGGATAGCAGTACATATTCTGTTACAAAAAATACTGCTTTGTAATGTTCCACTAATCCCAGAATTGTTTTACTGAGCATTATACCAGATAATATAGATAAGACAAAGAACTACCTAGTTTTATATATATATAGTCACTGCAGCCAGAATTCTTTATGCGAAGAATTGGAAGAAATCGGAGATACCGAAATGAGAGAAACTCATTGAGAAGATATGGGAAGTGGCAGAAATGGATATTCTATCAGAAGTGTTGAAAGACTGTCCAATACAATAGGCACCTGAATGATGGGATTTATTATATAAATGGCTTGAGTCACCAGATGGTGCTTGAATAACATAGAATTAAACTAAGATGTAATTGTAAATTGAAATCTGGAGAGCAATCAAATTGTAGAAAGGTGAAAAATCGACTTGATTGGATGACAGTACATTTTGTGTTCTCCTTACCTCTCTCCCCCCCCATATCCACCTCTACCTTTTGTACTATTTACCTTATCCCTAGTTGTTAAAAATAAAAAATACATTAAAAATAATAATCATTAACAAACAAACACTAAAAGTTCACTCTCTCAATAATACTAAGATGGACTGATAACTTGAAAGAGGCACCAGCCATGTCACTTGAATGAGGACATGCTTCCAAACTGAGGGGTTCTTTTTTTTGGGAGGGTTTTTGCTTCTTGAGTTGCAGTGTCTGCATCTGGACTGATAACTCAGTTGGCAGAGTCACTGGTCTCTGTGGTTTACTAATCCTCCCCACACTTTTTTCTGGGGGGGGGGAAGGAGGGGAATGGTTGGTTATGTGTCCTGAGCACACTGCCCTGAGCTCCTTGGAGGGAATGTGAGACACAGCTACAGTAAATCACCTATCTAAATGTTCTTAATGGCAGGCTTGTGCCCCAAATCTTTCAGAAATCTAGCAATGCCACTGGCTTGCTGCTAATCACAATGAAACAGTTTTCATTACCCATTAATGTCTTCTCTACCGCTGGGTGGTGCACTTTGTAAAGAGTATGATGACAATTCTTTTGACCCTGACATCGCACCTCTTCGGCCACTTAATAGCTGAGGAGACAAAACATTTCCAATTTCAAAGTTGTCTGTGCTATATTTGTACACTTCTATGTGCTCTGCATATCTGAGGCTTCAAATAAGTCTAGATAATTGCTCTTTAATAAAAAAAAGACAAAGACTATCAACAGTATATAAGGAAGACGAAGATACATAAACTATAGCAAAGCCCTCCCCTTCACTCCTTGTTCATATAATTTTAATTTGCACCCACTTGAGGCTTATCTTTGTTAGTCCTTGTGTCTACCACTACAGAGAAATCCACTAGCATGTTTATCAGGCCTCTGCCCACATAGCCAGGCTTAATCACATTTCACAGTATGTCTAGTGCTGCAGATGTCAGAATAATACTCTCCGAGTTCAGATTTAATGGTAAAGGTAAACAAGGAAACGAACCTTTCCTTCATAATTGATGCTTAAACCTCAGGGTTCTTTTTATCATCAAGTAGCCCACACAGATACAGTCTGTTCTCTGGAATATACACAGCAGACCTATTTTAGGCCACCTACAATTTAGAACTTGAGAACTATGAGCTTTTTTCTTTTAATATAAATAATAATGCCTGCTGTCATGCTCATATCTATCATTCTGGTCAGATGGCTAAGGTCAGTGCTGTGGGCTCACAAAATTTTTTGGGCTGGAAAAGATGATATGGCAGAGGAATTCCACACCATAGGAAGAAGTGTGGTACACTTCCTTCAGCACCACTGCACCTATTACATCTTTACACCTCCAATGAAGAACAGCAGAAACTTTTCTGAGATCCCTGCTGCTGTTGGTGAGGGCTAGGCAACCTTCTGGTGACAGATCCAAAAGATGCAGAGTTGACATCTTATGCTGCAATGCAATCATGTTGAGTGGAATATATGTACTAATGATAGCCCAATTTGGTTATTGTTCCTCTAAAAGTCATAGAAAATAGAATCCCCCTCCACTTGTCCTTATGCTAGCTTTCATGCTAGCTTTTGCGAACTCACTATTACTCATTAATTGAGGTGTGGGCTTTCCTCAAAGTTTTCCCTTTATAAATACTCCCTCCTGCAAAACAGGTTTTTACATTCACTCGGTGGAGAAGAACTGGTAGCTGAGCAGCAGCAATGTACATATTTCTGCTGTCATCTGCAGGATGAAATATGCCTGCTTTCAGCTCACTTTGAGGGGGTTCTGCAGAATGAAACGAAGACCTATAAAACAAAAATATTTTCCACTTAGATATTTATGCAAATGAAAAACCAATGGTACTGAAATGTTATACGGTGGTAATTTTTCACCATTTTGATCATCCCCAATAGGAGAAAACAAATATCCAAGCTTCCATATTTCTACAACGAACGAACAGCTTAATATAATAGTCATTAAGAATTCTGTTTCTTCAAACTATTCCAGCCATGATTCCTAGAACAGCCTTTTGGTTCTTCACCGTCTTAATTCTTTTTGCCTCCCGCAACTCATTTCCAGTAAGTTTCCATCCAGCATTCTGACTTTACTTTGTCTTTCATTATGACAAAGCACAATAAGCACATTATTTCATTCTTCTTCTTCTAAATTCTTCTCTTTTCAGGTTCACCATTTGCTACAGGACAATGGTAAGATTTTTCCTTGGCTGACAATTGAGAATGAATATAGTCTAAGCTGCTACACTGGAAGTTACATTATTCTTTTCATTTATCAGATGCTGATGATGGTGAACTGAGAGATGATATTCCAGAAATAAACTCAGGTATGTGGCACTAAAAATTATAATATTGGAATGGTATCTTTCTCCAAAAAAAACCCTTTTATTTTAAAACTATAATAATTGATTTTTGCTTCCAGGCCAACATTTTGACATTTATAAAGTGAATTTTAAAGACTTCATTCTTGATATTTGATGAGGAAACATTCTACATATATGCTGCATGTTGAAAAACATTATTTAAACAACATTGAAAAGTTATGAGGTTGCATATTCTTATAAACTACTTGTATTATTTCAAATGAGCAGAAAGGCAAATTTTAAGTCAAGCTATTGAGGTGGCTGAATCACAAAATGAAATGCAGTGGAGGTCTCATAAGACACAATTTATTATAGAGTTTATGATGAAAGGGGACAGAACAGAGCTTTAATGTCAATTATCCTGTTTGGAGCCACAATGGTCCACTAGAGTTAAAAAAAATTGAGATGATAATCAACAGCTTAGTAATTTTTTTTTTTACTATCTGCCAAGGTATTTTTAAACAAACCAGCAAAGGTAGATATTTTTTAAACTTATATATTTTTTAAAAACCCTATTCAGGCACTCTCAATGCCAGTGCTGAGAGCTTGCTTAAGGGGTAACACCTCACCCTTCCCCATCTGTAATCACATCATTCATGGTTTCAGTGCCTAGTGTGAAGAAAAGGAGAGTTCTACTCATCCATCACCTCAGCACACAAGGAAAGATCTATTTTCCCCCCAAGATGCTTGTTCAGGTGCACATTTTAAATGGGAGGAAGACTCAGTGATAAAACTGTAAAGAAGACAGCAACAAAGGGGCTGGGAATAGCACTCTAAGTATGCTTGGCCCTGTTCTAATATTTGAACAAGGCTAATATCAAACCTACATTTCAGAATTAAATTTTTCATGCCTCATGAATTTCTGTGTATGGGATTAGACATTGTAGTGTCCAATGGGAGGGAAGTGACATTTGGGCAAATCCCAAATAAGCAGACAAAAAAAAAAGGAAAAAAAGGAAAACAAGCAACAAAAATAACAACAAAAGGACATAGAAGTCAGTTGTGAGGAATTACATTTTGGAAACAGTTGTGGTTTTAATGATTTATCACTTAGTCAATAATGAGTTACGGTATCTGTGGGCACACTGCACAATCTGTGCCATTTTGGAAACAGTTGTGGGTTTAATGATTTATCACTTAGTCAATAGTGAGTTACGGTATCTGTGGGCACACTGCACAAAAATAATAATCACTTTGATCAAAAGTTTCTTTTGAAAATGTCTTCAGAGATAGAAAAAAACTGATATATTTCACATTTTAAAGTAAACCACTTTCTTAATTTCCCACCTCCTAGCTGCTGGACTAAGCCTCTTCCAGGGAGATATTTTGCTGCCTGTGAGTCTTTTATAAACATACTTCATAATGCAAATAATTTTGTGTTGCAAAGCGCTAAAGTCTCCAGCATTGATTCTTGTGCATTTTCAACAGCGACAACGCAGTGTACTGAGTAATGAACTTTATAGATGGAAATTCCCTATCCCGTTCATCTTGGCTGACAACCTAGGTAAAACAAACTTGGCATTATTACAGTACTGTTGAAGTTAAGATCAGATCTAGTTGTGGTTTCAGAATAAAAACTTCATCTTGGAGAAAATCAATTCCATTTGTGGTTTAAGACACCTTAAGTCATTGGTTCTTAACCTTGGGTTACTCAGGAGTTTTGGACTGCAACTCCCAGAATGACAACCTAGGTAAAACAAACTTGGCATTATTACAGTACTGTTGAAGTTAAGATCAGATCTAGTTGTGATTTCAGAATAAAAACTTAATCTTGGAGAAAATCAATTCCACTTGTGGTTTAAGACACCTTAAGTGATGCAGTCAAGAGAAAGCAGGCTTCTATTTGACTCCCAGGAATTTGGATTGCATTTTCACCTGTGTAATATACCCGTCAATACTCTGACTGAATGTCTTAAAGCAGCAACTGTGGGCAAATAATGGAAACTTAATCAAGGCAGGGACATATCTGAGCACAAGCAATGGACTCTCCCCAGGAACGTAAGGTCAATATCCTTGGAGGTGGACTTGCACTCACCTTAACAGTCAGCTATTTCCCTTGGAGAAAAAAAACCAGAAGCTTTACTTCTAGATCCAGATAGAGGCTATGGCCTTTTCAAAATGGTCATCGGTGTGGCAGGTATACATAATTGTTTTAAAGATTCAGCCTTTGATTGGACTAATGGAAGACAGCCCTCCATGGTATGGCTTTGAAAAATGTCAAGGAACTAGGAATAGTCCAGAATGCAGCAGCAAAGGTGCTTGCTTCTATGCTACCTTTTTTTGTAGGATATTTAAATGAGGCAACACATCTTGAGTGGTTTTTTTTTTAAAAAAAAACCATCAGGAGGGCAGGATATCTGTACCAGCATGTGTCTATCCATGTCTAGATCCATAATTCCTCATATCTTCACTTAAGGGATCTCTGGAACAGAGCTGGCAGATGTATAAAGAAGGCTTCCATCAGGGAACAACTGCCACAGAGTGATTCAGTTTAAAGATGCCCTTTATATGTCAATTCCACAATCACCACACTCATAAATAAAGCCTTGTGTTAAGTAACAAAATTATTTACTGCCACACATTAAAACTTGGTCAGCTGTCCCTCTTTCCTTGGTATTTTTTGTTTTCCGAAAGAGCCCACTGGTAAGAAGTATTTTTTATGAACTGTGTTTGGTGTGGGGGCTTTTCCCGACCCCTGTTCTTCCTCTTCTTATTCTTCCAGATCTCAATGCCAAGGGGGTGATTCTTAGAGCGTTTGAAGGATTCCATTTAAAATCTTGTGTGCATTTCAAGCCATATGATGGGGAGAAATCATATGTAATATTTCAGAAGTTTCAAGGGTAAGTAAAAAAGATGCTAGCAATTTGGGTTGTGTAATTAAGCTGGGCCCAACACTGTCTTTAGTCTGAATGAAGTTGTCATGTCAGGTGGAGGAGGAGAACTAGCAGGGAGGACAGGCAGCAAGGTAGGGGCTCCTGCCACTCCAGAGAGTGGCTGCTCCTCCACATGGCTTCCCAGAGTGGGGGATTTCCTCAGTACCAGGGGGGCAATGCTAGACTGTGTCACATACAGCACTGATGGTACCTGCCAGGGGGGCAATGCTAGCCTGTTTCTGCTATTTCTCTGTTTCCTCCTTCCGACGCAACATCTACATTACGCGTAAGCAGAGACTGTTTAGTGCCTAGTAGGCTTCTGTGGAAAAGAAACTACATTGTCTTCTTTCCATCCCCCCCCCACTTCACCCGTTAAGTTTAGGCAGGCTGGTCAGCAGCTTATAAGCTTCTCCCCACGCCACCATTTGTATTCTTGATGTGAGGTGTGTTTGTTTGCATATTTCAAGGTTCCCAGGGTGGAAGTGCATTGTGTCTTTGCAATCAGTACACAGAGACACACTACGACCTGTACAGGCCAAGGTATCTCTCTTGAGTTCATTTTGTTCTAATTAAAACAGTATCCCAGATCCAGAGTACAGAACATATTTTTCCTCTGTAGGACAAGCATTTACATGGTGAAGAAATTGAAGGTGGGCATTTGCAGACATGCCCTGAGGTGGAGATTATACCTATCAAATAAGAGGCAACTTTCTGCAGCGTGGTCCCCCTGTATCTACACAGTCCTATTCTGGTCTTATCTTCTTGGCCACAGAGTGAAAATATGCAATATTTTTCACACTGAGAATTTCATTTTATGGAGATTTCATACTAGCAAATACACATGCATGTCTGTTGTAGCCATTCCCCATAATGCATTGTTGGTTCCTCACTGCATATATTATCTTGAGTGGTGTATATATAAAGATATGACAGCATAAAAATCATTTGGTAGAAGTGTTCTTCTGAACATTCAGTGCGGGGGTCACAATATGTTCTTGCTATCTATTCAGTTTTTAAATGGATACTGAATTATATTTACTTAAAATGAACATTCTCACCAAATGCTCAGTTTATATAGGATTTGATTTGGGGTCTGCTTTCATAATTTGGAAAACTGGCATGATCTACTTCAGGGGTGGGCAATTAATTTCTATAGGGGGCCACATGAAAAATCTGAACTGTGTTTGGGGGCCGAACCAACGTTACTTAAAAATAGGTCCCCATTAGGTGGGTAGTAATAGGCCCCCAATTTGTGGGTAGTAATAGGCCCCCATTGGGTGAGGCCCTGTGGTGAACGAACTACAAGGCTGATATAGTTAACTCCCTAAACTTTTTTAGGACTGGAGCGACAACCAGCGGGTTGGACAGGAGCAGCTCACGTGCCATATGTGGCCCGCGGGCCGCACTTTGCCCAGGTCTGATCTACTTTGTCCCAAAGTTAACTTTCTTTTAGAAAATTCAAATGTTTTATATTTTCCTATTGAATAAACATGGAAAAATGAAAGAAAGAAAAAACAGTTTCATTTATTTTTAAATAATGAGGCTTGTTGACAGAATTAGGTGAGATTTGCAGGCATTGCTACCTTTCTAAGGGAATAATTCCGGCAAAATTCAAATAAATACATGTGGGTGTGAAGTGTGGGTGTGTGAGAGGGAGAGAGGGAGGACCTTCTCTACACACCCATTTTGGAGCAGACTGGATTGGGATAAAAAGAGTCACTACAAGAGCTGGTGTGCCATTTGGTGTCATCCTCTCATCCAAATGGTATATGGGTCTCAAATGAGCCTATTTGATCCAATTTGGCAATAAGGTAAAGTGGCTTAAGAAAAGAGCCACTCCAGGACATTGGCAAATTAAACAGCTCCTCAGCTCTGGAGGGGCCAAGGAAGTGAGAGTATTAGGGCAGTGCATATGCATTGCACCACATTTGCCTAATGGAAAACTTCTTCCCAAAAGTAGGAGAAAAAAGGAAGTGACAATGAAGGGGATTTTTGTTTGTTTCTCTTAAAGTTCCAGTTAACGGTCAGTCAAGAAACGCAAACAAAAATCCCCCTCGTTGTCCCCTAGTAAATTGACAGCAGGCTGGTGTGGACAAAACAGTTTTCCTTTTGGCTTTTGTTTTTTCCTAGTGATGCAGCACATACACGCTGCCCTTTAATTAATTAATTTTTTTACTTACTTGTTCCTCACATGGAGCCAAGCAAGTGTTTAATTTGCCAATATCAAATTGCAATTCAAACAAGGAGGCTTGCTTTGTTTTGTTTCCAGAGATTGCATGTGCTGGAAATGAACAAAATGAAGCAATGCAACAAAAAAGGTAGAAGCCTGTAACAGGGACCAAAAAGGTGCAGGTAGGAATGTTCTGAGGACGGGCTGATTCACTCCAGCAAAGACATTGTCTGATCATCCCTGCAGTGGACCAAACAGCAGGCAAAATGTCCATTTATTCACACTCAGAGAGAGTGTCTTAAGGGAATCCAGGCTGCCCTTTGCAAAGATCGAAGCTGCAGCTTCCCTACTCTAAATGAAGCCACAGCCACCATCTTTGTGAGGGGCAGCCAGTCTCCCTTTTTACATGTGTGGCTGGGAGGCCAGAAGGAGACCTCAGCAGCAGTGATTAAGGAAAGGGGTGTCAGTGGGGGGGAGGCTAAGGTAGGGAAAGGAAGGGATGGGTGGGTAGGTTGTGGGGGTGGATGGGGCAAATTTGGTGTCTCTAGTTGCTTAGGGGCCAATATTATAGCCATTTAAAGTGAAGACAAATCAATTCATCAATTTGTTGAAGAATATTTGTATATTCGTATTACTTGAGTCATTAAACTTGATGAATCACGAACCAACACGAATCGCCATTTTTTTATTTGTCCCCATCTCTACTAATTCGTTCAGTTTCTCTTCCTGATAACGCTCTATAAAATGGATTAATTGCTTTTGCAGCAACTGTCACCCCTCTTGCTTTTATGCCTTTTGGTATTTTTTGTTCTATGTCTTGGTCTACTTCTTAGAATAAATATGTAGTTCTAGCAGTTTGTTATTTCACTAGAAATGTCCTGTTTTCCTTTTTCCTGATAGACACAAAGATTGTTACCTTACTACTTCATTTTTGTCTCCATGCTATCATTTACCCAACAAATTATGGTAGCAGAGGTTGTCGTTTTTAAGAGAAAACACTCAAAGCTACCACTGTGTTTGGAATTTTATTTGACTCTTCCTTTGAAGTTCATACGGTGAAACAGAGTGGGGGTTCTGGCAAATATTCCTTTCATTCTAAATTGGGGAATGTGTTGTATTTGCTTCTGGTTACAGCCAAAGGACAAAAGGAGGTGACTTTTGAAATGGCAAGAGAACTTTTTTTAAGTGACAAGACGATTGTTTATACACAGCCAAACAGTCTTCAGTGACTTATACATACAGAATGGAAAGTGAAGTTGTGAAGGGAAGAAAACAAGTTAACTCTTGTCACACTAGGAGACAGCATAAAGCAGCATAGATATGTGTCATGAGTTCAGCCAAAGAAGATCTGGCATCTGAGAGGTTAATTTCAGCTGAGGAAAATACTGGGCAATTAGAAGCACAGACAGCTGAATCACCACCAGATTCTCCTCCCCAGTAGCCAGAGTGAGGGATAAGCTTCGTTAAAGAATCATGACACGAAGCTCCGAAGCTCGTATGAATGCTTTCCACAGGAACATCAGGTCAACCAGTCCTGGGTTTTAACAGGATGGAAGGCTTCTAGGAGTCTGATGGTTGCTGCTCCTATATAATTTGTACCTAGAAGGCTTGGAAATCTTGGAAGCAACAAGTCCATTCTGTGGCTCGCGTCCACGTTCCTGCTATCTTGAACCTTGCTTACTTGACCTTTGGCTCTTAGACTCTGACTTCTGACTACAGTTCATGTTCTCACTTTGACAATTTGGCATCTGTTTTGTATCTCCTGGCCTTCTGACTTTGGACTGACTTATTGGACTTTTGCCTGCTGTATCCCCTGGAAACGTAACAATATGCCAATAACTCCACCTACTTCAATATAAGCTACCACATCCACTCAACAATTTCAACTAGCTGTAAGTAATGACAGTGGTATATTTGTAATTCCAAAGCTGAACCAGAATAACTTTCAGATGTGGGATATGAGAATAAGTTTCCCTTCAAGTGCAGGACAGTTTAAATGTCATAGTCCAAGATATACCTGAAAGTCAGCCAGCATAGAATGAATATAAAATAAAAGAAGCAAAAGGCCTGGAAGCCTTCGACACCCCCGTACCCTTCCCCCGCCGCCGCTGAGAGCTTTCCGAGCTCTCAAAGGGCTTTCTCCAATATCGGAGGGGGCCCTTTGAGAGCTCGGAAGGGAATTGTTGGCAGGGGACGGTGGCTTTGGGGTCCTTCCGAGGCCGCAGCCCACTGCCGACATTTTCCCCCAGCTGAACAGCGGGGCTGCAAAGCTCCCGCCGCTCAGCTGGGGGAAAATGGTGCCTATGGGGAAAAATCGCAAAGCGATTTTTCCCCATAGGCAAGATCGTAGTGCGATCGCAAAAGCGATGGCAAAAAAGCCATCGCTATGCGATTTCTTTGTTGAACAGGGCGCTCGTTATACGAGGCACCACTGTAGATCCTGCCCCTCCTCTATATGACAGTGTTTCATGTATGTGAAAAATGGTATCATATTTCCCCTCAGTCTTCTTTTCTCAAGGCTAAACATGCTTAATTCTTTCAGTTTTCGCTCATAGGGCTTGGTTTCCAAAACCCTGATCATCCCAGTTGCTCTTGTATGAACTTGTTCCAGTTTTTTGGCATCCTTCGTGAAGTGTACACAATACTTAGGATGAAACTTAACCAGGGGAACTAGTACCTCTCAGGATCTGGAGACTATATACCTGTTAACACAGCCTAAAATACCTAACATTGCCTTTTTTGTAGCCACATCACACTGTTGGCTCATATTTAGCTTGTGATCTACAATGACTCCAATATCCTTCTCTCTTGTAGTATTGCTTCAGCCCGGAATCCTCCATCTTGTAACTGTGTAGTTTCATTTTCCTAGGTGCAGTACTTTGCACTTTTTCCTCTTGATTTTCATTCTGTTGTTTTCAACCCATTGCTCAAGCCTTTCTAGATCATTTTGAATTTTGTTTCTGTCTTCCAGAGTGTTAGCTATTCCATCCAATTTTGTGTCATTCACAAATTTGTTTAGTATTCCCTGTGTACCCTCATCCAGTTCATTGATAACAATATTGAAGAGCACTAGGTTCCAGAAAAACATCTACTTCTGCTTCATTGACTAAGCAAAAGCCTTTGACTGTGTAGACCACAACAAACTTTGGCAAGTCCTTAAAGAAATGGGAGTGCCTCACCACCTTATCTATCTCCTGAGAAATCTATATGTGGGACAGGAAGCAAGAGTTAGAAGTGGATATGGAACAACTGATTGGTTCAAAATTGGAAAAGGAGTACGACAAGGAGGTATATTGTCCCCCTGCTTATTTGAGTCATGGCAAGTGGACTTCTTTCTTATTACAGTGGGGTCTCGACTTATGAACGACCCTACTTACGAACAATTCAACTTACGAAGCCGCCCTATAGGGGAAATAAGGACTCGACATACGAACTTCCCTCAAGTTACGTACAGGAAAAAAGTACACCCTCCCTCCCCTTAGAGGCTTCTGGAGGGGAAAGAAAGTTCAGAAACTTGAAAATAAATAAAAGAAAGTCACTTACCAGGCCTTGGTAGCCCCTAAACAGCAAGAAAAAGAGCAGGAAACAGCTAAAAGCCCACACCAGAAGGGAGCCTGGCAGCCATTTTGTGCTTCCCTCCCCCGCTCCTGCACCCTCCTCTCCCCGCCTATCAGCTGGTCGGCTGGCTCTGAAGAGGCTTGGGGAGGCTTGCTCAGCACCTAAAAAGCCTGCCTGTGTGTCTTTGTGCTGAAAAAATCAGCACAACATGCTTTAAAACATGATTTAAAATTGGCTTCGTTGAAAAAAAGATTTCTAAAGTGCTTTGCAAACTGTTCCCTGCCTTCCTCCTCGTTTCTTCAACCTAAGGGGGGAAAAAAAGAAAAAAATATCCTCCTCTAGTGGCAGAAGGTGGAATAGCAGCTTCCCATTAGTTTTTATGGACGGAAAAGAGCAGATACAGATTAAATGGTTTTCAATGCATTCCTATGGGAAATGCAGATTCGACCTACGAACTTTTCGACCTAAGAACCACCTTCCAATATGGATTAAGTTCGTAAGTCGAGACCCCACTGTAGATTGAAATGTTTTGTTACTCATCCAAGCAGCTTCTTCAGTCAGACTCAACTTCCAGATAACCACACCTGGATGACTGAGAATCTTCACAGATTTTAAGCAGAAATGTGAGCTCACCAAACCACCATGATTGGCATGCCATAAAGAGAGTGGCAGGATATTTGAAAACAACAGGGGATTTAAAAGTAAAGATACAGTATCACATTGTGAAACACCTAGATTAATTGGATGCCAGTGGGGAGAAGAATCAACAGACTAAAAATCAACCGGTGGATATCTGTTTTATTAGGGAAATAGTCTTACTGATTGGACTAGCAGAAGATAGATCATTGTGGCTTAATTTTCAGCAGTAGCAGAATGTTTATAAGCAGCAAATACATGTAATTAATTGGAATGGATCTTTTATCTGTTAAAGCGCTTTGGGATTAATGAACCTATGCCAATAGTTATATCTGAGGACAATCAACCCTGTACTACAATATGTAAAGGAGAAAGCACTAAAGCTAGAAGCAGAACAATTAAATTGAAATATTAATTTTTGAAGGACTTACCGTATTTTTCCATGTATAAGATGCCCCAGATATAAGACACCCCAACTTTTCTAACCTAAAATTAAGAAATCTAACTGGGGCTTAGCAAGTGTAGGGGGAAAAAGGATCAAAGTGTTGCATGATCACTTTGATCCCTGCTTTCTCCCTTTGTGCTAAGCCCTGCTGGGCTTAGCAAAAGAAGGGGGGAGGGGGTTAAAGCTATCCCACAACTGCATGATTGTTTCCCCCTTATACAGCCATGGGATTGCTTTGATCCTTTCCCCCTCCTTTTGCTAAGCCCCATGGGACTTGGTAAGCAGAGGGGAAAGCAAGGATCAAAACCATCCTGCAGCACTTTGATCCCTGCTTTCCTTTTGCTAAGGCTCAGCAAGTGGAGGGGAAAACAAGGATCAAAGCCCTGCAGGATCACTTTGACACCTGCTTTCACCTCCACTTGTTTTTCTCTCCTCAGATTACTTCCGTGTATAAGACGACCCTCAATTTTTAGTCTAAGGATTTTAGACAAAAGTATAGTCTTATCCATGGAAAACTACAGTATGTCAAAAGGGACTGATTGAGACTGAATATCGCCCCCTTGATAAAATGGTGGCAGATATTTTGACCATGCCATTGGCAAGAGAGAAATTTGTGTATCTTTGTGAAATGTTGAATATGCTTGATCCCAATGCCAACAAAAATTTAAATGGCTTCTATGTTAGATCTTGAGAAGGGGTGGTTTTTACTGCCTTTTGGGATGTTTTGGTCTATGTCTCAGCCTACTTAGATTAAATATGTAGTTCTAGCAGTTTGCTATTTTTCTATAAATGTCCTGTTTTCCCTTTTCCCAATAGACATTGTTACTTTACTACTTCATTTTCGTCTCCTCCACCTGGTGTTTTCTTTCTATGGTGTGGTTGCAAAATACTTCTGTTTTAACTTTCCTGTCTTTCCAATCTTGTTGCTGTGATTTTCCTTAAAGGTCCTGCTCCAGATGTCTTCACCCCTGGAGATTACGCAGGTGGCTATGAGTTGATCTCATAAAGAATTATGCCTTCCTATGCACACCTTCAAGTAGCATGTCAAAACCATTCTGTGTTCTTATAAAAATGCATGTGGGGTCAATTAGGATGAGAGACACTTGAAGCAAAATTTCAGGACATGAGGCAAAGCTTGATGGGCATGAGCAGAAGAACCTGCAAATGTTATGCGATCTTGGCATAATTTGGATGTAGCAGCAACACATTCATGGTGTTGCTTTATATATGCTGAATGGTTTGTGTAACAGCTTTCTCCAAATAAATGCCCTGCAGATGTGTTATGCTACCTTTCCCATTATCTCCAGTTAGCTAATGGCTGGGGATGGTGGTGTCAGATTCCAGGTTTTGGAAGGCTGCCCTGTACTGCTGCAAGTAGAAGTGCTGGATTTTATTTTATTTTATTGTAGTATTATTGCTTCATTGGTAGAACATGATTTCAACTCTCAGCTGATTGCTAATTTGTGTATAATTGAAGTGATTTTCTTGACACAGGATTCCTTTGTTACAGTCCAGCAAACTCACCACGACGTTATGACCATCAAAATGTCAATAATTTTGTCTGTCTTTCTCAGGTGTTGGTCTGTAACTGGAGATAAAAAAAGAGGCCAAAACCTTTCTATTGGAGATGGGTGTGACCACAAAGCTATTGTAACACATGAAATTCTACATGCTCTAGGATTCTACCATGAGCAGACACGGACGGACCGAGATGATTATGTTGAAATACAGTGGGACCATGTGCTTCCAGGTTGGTTTTCAGTATAATGAAAGGAATAGTGACAATGCAGTTGCCTTTTTTCTTCTCTTGGGCAAATACAAAACACAGGAAGGAGGGTTCCTAAAACTGCATGCAATCCGTCACCCACAAGGACCCCAAATAGCAATTCATAAAATAATCATTTTCTTTACCACTGATCCAAGACGCATGCATTTCTTTAAAAAGATCCTAAATATTCATAATAGCATAACTCATTGACACAAATAGGGGCTCATCAGCAACACAGGATCAGAAACATATACCAAATGCAAAAATGATCCTTATGGGTATCCTTAGAAAAAGAGGTAAGAAAAATGTGATAAACCATAGTTGTATCAATACCTTTTTAAAAAGTTCCTTTCAAATAGATCCTTTCCATCTTGAATTGTTCAGGTTGTTATACATCTCTTTGAATAAGATCTTGGATTTTGTCCACAAAACATTTCCTGCTGATAAGATCAGCATTCTGGATTTCTACTAAACCTTGCTTACAATATTGCCTCTGGAGGTTTTGCTATCGTGGTGGTGTGCAGAGTCAGGAAGTAATCGGTTTCCTAATGAGTTGCTCATGGAACAAGTTCCATTCTTCAGTAATGAAATGGAACAAAGTTACATTTTTGCTTGTAATGATCTATAATTTACTACTTTTTCAACAGAATGAGTCATTGCATGGCTAACTGTAGGGGTGAGGTGGCCTGAGTGGAGAGTCACTTGAATGCCTTATTTTGTTCTGCTTCTTTCTATACCTTTCTTCATGCAGGCGTTGTAAGGAGATGGGGGTCTAAGGAGGGGGGAAAGCAGCATTGAAGATAGATAGATAGATAGATAGATAGATAGATAGATAGATAGATAGATAGATAGATAGATAGATAGATAGATAGATAGATAGATAGATAGATGATAGATAGATAGATAGATAGATAGATAGATAGATAGATAGATAGATAGATAGATAGATAGATAGATAGATAGATAGATAGATAGATAGATAGATAGATAGATAGATGATAGATAGATAGATCCGATGTGTGAGTGAAAGACAATGTGCAAGTGAGAGTGCAAACATTTTCAAGCATATTAAAGTGAGCAAGTAGGTGTAGATGCTCATGGGGAACTACACAAAAGCAAGCATCCCTGTGGGAGAAAGTGTGTGTGTGTGTGTGTGTGTGTGTGTGAGAGAGAGAGAGAGAGAGAGAGAGAGAGAGAGAGAGAGAGAGCACTCAATATAGTGGGCAAATCTCCAAAGGAATTGGTAGGCACATATATGTGTGCATGACAGACAGAATATAGGTGCATATGTGCAAGAGACAATGAATAAGAGCTTCCAGGGAATTCATAATGTGCCTGAACAGGCAGGCAAATAAACATGGAGGCGAGATGGCAAGTGCACCTGCATGAGAGTGGGAAAGGGTGTGCATGCGAAAGAGAGAGAGAGAAGCTGTATGCAGAAGAACATGTGGAGGTGCATATGCAGGAGAGGGCACATGCACGCGCATGGAGAGATCAAACAAGACAGAGAGAATGGCCATTTTGGGGAGAAAGTGGGGATATCTGCACATGTGACTGGGCAGGTCAGGGTGAAAGAGAAGGAAAATAAGAACAGGCAAGCTTAGGGTGTGTGGCTTAAGCAAGCACTGCACTGGACTGTTAATGCAGCTGATTCATGTGACATGTCAAATCTAACTTTGGGTTGAGTTCTCTCACAAAAGGCTGAGATGTTTAGGCTGAATTTTAGCAGCCATCATTGAGATATGTTGAGTCAGCAAAGCCTACAAAAACATATTTCATAAGAATCTGTCACATTAGCATCTGTGGCTGGCAGGCAGTTGGTCAGTAGTACATCAGGAATGTCTATAAGCAAGGCCCTTATATATTGGTTGCTCAGAATACCTACTACAGTATTCAAATACTGCTTCTGAACATGGAAGCTTCATTTAAGAGATCCACTTGTAATTCTTTCAGTGAGCTTGGCACCCAAACCAACAAAGATGCAATTTTTAATTCCTGGTGCTGTTGGAAATACTCACAAAAGTGACAAATGGATGGGGTTCTATGGGAACTAATTTTGATCTAACAGTTCTATTTCTTTACTAAGTTGATACTCATAAGAAACGGCTGCCTACAGAAGGCCAGCAAACCTGATACGTCAACTGGATTATGCACCAGAGATTGTAGTCAAGATATCTAGGAAGAAAGCACCAAGGGAAACTTTGCATCATAATGTGTTTGTCACAGTATTTTCAGCATGCAAAACCCAGAAATGCCATCATTATATATTTCCAAAGGCTACCCTCCGAGCGAATGCCTTACTAACAAGCACCAGAAAACATTCCTTTTGCAGATGAGGTAACCGTAATAACACTCTGCTACCGATCCAGAACAGTGAGTAACAGAACAAGGTCCTTTTAAGAAGTAAGGATTCAAGTGTTGGGATAATCTATTGCCATATAATCTATTTTTCCAGTTATTTTTTTTCTCCAGAGGCATAAGCTCACCACCTCACATGCTCAAATGCACACAGTATCAATTCAAATGAGAACCTCTTTTAAATTGGTTAAAAACGACTAGTTGAAAGAACAGTTTAACAGTTAAATATTAACATCCATTTGTTCATAGAGTGATGCCCCAGAATCATCTGACGAATTAACTTTTTTTATCAGAAAAGGCCATGATGTTGAGAGTAGAGCAGCTTGATCTCTTGTGTTGTAGAACACGGACTAAAATCTCTTTGCAGGCATTTCCAGGAAGTGATTGGATGTCTATTCCTTTTACAGCTCAAGAATACAACTTTAAGAAACATGGAACCAAGACTGTCACTGATTTGAACACTCCGTATGATTATGAGTCCATCATGCATTATGGCCCATTTTCATTTGGTAAAAATTCAAGTTTAGCAACAATTACCACAAAAATGCCTGAGTTTAATATCATTATTGGCCAACGTCTGGATTTCAGCATTACTGATTTAGACAGACTGAATCGGATGTACAACTGCAGTAAGTCTTCATTCGGACACTCCACTTGCTTTTGCTCATGAAAACTGTCCAATCCCCTGTAATGACTGACAGGTGATCCTAGTCCTGTGGAAGGACACCCCAGGGTAGCACTGTCAATGATCTTCCAATTTAAGAGATGTCCTCAGTGTTTTTAATGTTTATGTTTCCTGTAAAATCCATGAACTCTTTCTTTCTTTCTTTCTTTCTTTCTTTCTTTCTTTCTTTCTTTCTTTCTTTCTTTCTTTCTTTCTTTCTTTCTTTCATTTTTCTCACATGTCAGCAAGATCCCTCACTCTTTTGGACCAGTGTGACTTTGAGTCCAACGAAATATGTGGTCTGGTTCAAGAACCAGTTGGTGACGCTGGCTGGATGCATAAGAAAAGCAGTCCCAAGGGACAGGATCACACCTACATTCAACAATGTGAAGGTAAACAAAACACAGAGATATGCATAACAGTTTTTAGTATAACATGATTATTTTAAGATAAGGGTGGACTTAGTTTTAATGCTGTGAGTTACTGAGCTATGGAGCAGGTGCATAAAAAAAACCCAAAATTCCTTTTTTAATATCATTTTTATTTAATTTGAACATATAAATCTATCAGTTACAAACAAATGTGCAATATAAGACACAATAGAAAAAAGAGAAAGAAATGAGAAAAAAAAGAAAAAGACCCCCCCCAAAAATCCCCCTTCTCCCTTTGAGGACAGAGATTCAGACCTCATTGAATCACAAATTTCCCAAGTTTCCAGAGAGCACTGAAGGAGTAAAAAACAACACATCAATCAATTTGCCCTATCCTTT